TTGTGTGTGTTTTTTTTTGGGGGGGGGGGGTATTTATTTGGTTTGGGTTTTTTTAACTTGCAATGTGAGAAGTATTAAGCGTCTGTTTTCTGAATATTGAAATGAGTGGTGGGTTTTTCCGTCCCAATTAAAATATGTTATCCAAATAAATAAATAAGAAAGGAAAGCTGATGTTACGTGTATCTGGTAACTATAGGCTGCATGGTGCATATCAGACTTTAAAACACATGTGTCAATTTTTCTCCTGGTGTATGTGGGAATGGGGGTAATGTGTATGTGTACGCGTTTGTGTGTGTTTGAGCATGTTCGTTGATGTGTATAGATAGATAGATAGATTTATTTTCCTGTCAGTCTGTCTGTCTGTTTGCCTGCCTGCCTGCCTGTGTATCTGTGTGTCTGAGTGTCTGTCTGTCTGTCTGTCTGTCTGTCTGTCTGTCTGTCTGTCTGTCTGTCTGTCTGTCTGTCTGTCTGTCTGTCTGTCTGTCTGTCCTGCTTTCCTAGATGAAATAACTATAGTGCTTCTCTTAACTCAAAATAATAACTACACTCTTGTCTCGTATTGAAAGCCACAACTGTTAGGTACTATATCTTTATTTTCCCTCTGCTGTTTCCGTTTGTTTGCCTGTCTCACTATTTCCCCAGCACTAAATGGCTGTCGTTGTGTCGATTTGCTTCTCTTTACTCAAACAAACTACACTCTTGGGAGTCTATTATCATGCTCTGCTTCCTTGTAGGATACTTATGCCTAACTGTAACTCATTACACTCTACCGGAACACCAGTACTGATTCTGTCTCCAATGAACAAAGCCTGATAGAAAACGGGGTTAATTACTGCACTATTCTACTGACCCGATCTTTTCCCTGGGGTTGTTTGTAGTAATGAGGGTTGGGTTTCTCAAATTCCAATTCTTATTTATGTAATGAAATTCTATAGACTTCCCTGTGATGTGGCGTAGACGTCTCGTATACACAGGAAGTATGAATTATAATGAATGACAAGTCTTGATTAAATGTTTAGGGGGGTTTTGTCGTTTGACAAGCAAATCTGTAATGCTGTTCTCAGCGTCCTTTGGATATGTTCACTTATTTTTTGTCCGCCGCGTGAAAGATATAATCTCCTTCCTGAAGGCATTGTTTGTCGTTACTTCCTTTACTACTCTTCTCTTTCGTACCCCCCGCCCCTCTCTCTCTCTCTCTATCTCTATCTCTTTCTATCTATCTCTATCCCTTTCAATCTCTGTCTCTCTCTTTCTCTATCTATCTATCTATCTATCTATCTATCTATCTATCTATCTATCTATCTATCT